TATATATGTATAAACAAATGTATATATATATATTTACAGGGATCTATACAACACAAATGAACAGCCACAAATTGAAGCGAACGCGGTAGTTAGAGAAGTACCTGATATCACAACAGAAGAAATAAAGAGAGCGCTTAAAGGCATGAAGAGAGGGAAAACACCAGGTGAAGACGGTATTAGTATAGACCTTATAATAGACGCGGGAGAAATTGCAACAGTGAAACTAGCCAATCTTTTTAACAAATGCCTTCTCAATGGAAAAATTCCGAAAGCCTGGAAAAATGCAACAATTATTTTGATTCATAAAAGGGGGACAGGAAAGATCTAAAAAACTACCGACCCATAAGTCTCCTTTCAGTTACTTACAAACTGTTCACTAAAATCATCACAACTCGTATCTCTGACAGTCTGGATTCTAACCAGCCTAAAGAACAGGCAGGTTTCCGCAGTGGATTCTCAATAACAGACCACATACACGTACTTACGCAAATAAGAGAAAAAAATAAACGAATATAGGAAACCCCTGTGTATGGCATTCATCGATTATGAAAAGGCATTTGACTCTGTACAGATACCAGCAGTACTAGAAGCTATTCGAAGACAGGGAGTAGAGGAGATATATTGTAAAATATTAGAAGATATATGCGAAGATGGGACAGCAACCATCAAGCTCCACACAGAAACCGATAAAATCCCAATTAAGAAAGGTGTTAGACAGAGCGATACCATCTCACCAAAATTGTTTACATTTTGCCTTGAGGAAATATTCAAGAAGCTAGAATGGGTATCAAAATTGGGAACGAATAACTAAACAATCTAAGATTTGCAGATGATATTGTTCTCTTCAGTGAATCCGCAAATGAAATGCAGCAACTAATAAATGATTTGAATAGAAAGAGCCTGAAAGTCGGTCTTAGAATGAACAAGAGAAAGACTAAGATCATGTTCAACAGTAGAGTTCAATTCGAAGAGATACATGTTCAAGGCAAAGCGCTAGAGGTGATAGACAAGTATATATACCTAGGGCAACTCGTACAGACAAACACATCTAGACGCATCAGTCTAGGCTGGGGTGCCTTCGGTAGACACAGTTGCATACTAAAAGGCTCCTTGCCATTATGTTTAAAAAGAAAAGTCTTTAACCAATGCATCCTCTCAGTTATGACCTATGGATCAGAAACATGGACTACAACCAAATTATTGAAGAGGAAACTAATAAGTGCCCAGAGAGGGATGGAGAGGTTGATGCTGGGAATTAGCCTAAGAGATCGGATGACGTGGATTAGGGAACAGACAAAAGTGGAAGATATACTCGGGAGCATCAAAAAGAAAAAATGGCAATGGGCAGGTCATATATGTCGGAGACGAGACAACAGATGGATAAAGAAAGTAACAGACTGGCTTATAGATAACATAAAGAGGCCAAGGGCCAGACCTGTGACAAGATGGCGCGATGAAATAGCGAAATTTTGGGGCCAAGACTGGGAACAAAAAACACAAGACAGACAAAGATGGAAAGATTGGGAGAGGCCTACATCCTGCAGTGGATTGACCCAGGCTGATGATGATGATGATATATGTATATATATATATATATATATATGTGTGTGTGTGTGTGTGTGCACGCACGCTCGGGCGCGTGCGTGGTGCGTGGGTGTAGGGGTGTATTTGATTTGTATGTATATACGTACACATAATCCGTATTTACGTTTGTCCATCTGGATCATGTCCTAATCTCCCTTTCCCTCTCTCTTTTTCCATCTCTCCCCTCACCAGCTCTCGCATATTATCTTTTTTAACGCATTCAGTGAGATATTGCAGTTTAGTTTGATTTTCCGAAAGGTGAGAGGCGGAGGGTTGGCTAATGGAAATATCAAGCGACATTAGCCTTCATCTCTATCGGTGGAATGCACTGTAGGGAGAGGGCTAATCGCTGCCAATATCAGTAATATACGTGCCGTCTAATAACAAATTGGGCATCTGTCAATTCTTATTACATATCCCCACACACACGTGCACACACACACACACACACACGCACACGCACGTACGCACGCACAGACACACGCACACACACACACACACACACGCACACAAAAACACACACACGCACGCACACACACACACACACACACACACACACACACACACACACACACACACACACACACACACACACACACACACACACACACACAAGCACGCCCTTGTGCAAATGCCTATCAGATTCCCTACATATAGAACTTGATAGTGTACACACGGGGATACCGGACAGCAGGTAAATATACAAAACCATGTTTATTGCTTGTTGATTAAAACTTGGGTAGACATTTAATAGCCTGTGAGTTCAAAATATCGATATGAACACACGAATGAACACTCATAACGTCACGGGTCAAAATATATTGCAAACTCTTCATTTAATCTAAACTGATCTTCTTGGTCCCGTGATTGCTCTCAAGTCTACAACTAAATCCTAGTTCAAAAAAAAAGAAAAAAAAAGCTAAATCTAATCTACAAGTAAATAGACTATGGGTTCAAAATACACACACACGCGCGCACACTTACAACGCCACAGGTCAAGATGTAACCCAAACTTTTCATTTAAGCTACATCGATCTCTTTCCCTGAACTCATGAGTGTTTTCTGCAACTAAATCTTTGATAGCTGAGGTCTAGGAACATTTTCAAAACACTATCATAAGAAGCTTTTAAATCCTCTCTAACCAACAGGTGTAGTAATTTTTCTGTTCGATATGATATTCGAAATATTTGTTATGAATATTTTGCCCTTGACTGCGCATGGGTTTTAATCTAAATTGTATAAATACGCATACAGATAACTATTTTAGATATCAGGTATATCAAAATTAACATGCACGTACGAAGGACTCAGGTGTTATTGATCCTGAATACACACTCTTTCTCCCTCGTATGTATACAACTTAGTTCTCTTTCTCTCACTTCCTTTCTCCTTCCTTCGCCATAATCCTACACCCCCCCACCCCACCCCTCCCCCACTCTCTGTTTTTCTTTGTCTTCCTTGTCTTATCTCTTCCAGGAATCGCTTCTTTCATCTTTGTAAGTTCCCTTGGAGTGGGACAAATCTCGCGGGATTTATTACGACATCTTCATTACCGATAAAGCTTTGCTGATGGTTGTGACACGGCCAATTTTCCTCTCATGTAAATGTCTGTCTTTGATTCAGTCTGCCTATCGATCTGCCATCTATCTGTCAGTCTTTGTTACTCACTCAGGCACTCTTTCTCGCTGAAACATAAAGGGATGAATAATTGATCTCTCTCTCTCTCTCTCACTCTCTCTCTCTCTCTCTCTCTCTCTCTCTCACTCTCTCTCTCTCTCTCTTTCTCTCACTCTCTCTATCTTTCTCTCTTTCTCTCTCTCTCTCTCTCTCTCTCTCTCTCTCTCTCTCTATATATATATATATATATATATATATATATATATATATATATATACATATATATATATATATATATATATATATATATATATACATATATATATATATATATATATATATATATATATATATATATATATATTATATATATATATATATATATATATATATATATATATATATGTATATATATATATATAACTTTGATGTGTATTCATAACCTCACCAGATGAAAATAAGTAATAAGCTAATCCTCTATCATTTCAAACTTACACCAGTACCAAGGTTAACCTCAGTTTCCAGAAAGGTCATATTTCCCATAAACCTCAGTTAACTTCTACTTAGTTATCTGGTGTCCATAGTAAATTGATAAAAGCCACGGATACTGACATAACGAAACCATACGGCCTTTAGTTAAATTATTAGTTTCTATCGAACAAGATCATCCCTTTGGGACTTTGATAAGGTCCCTGTGACAGACGTTGAAAGAAAATATTAATGCAAATGGAATACGTCGTGGTAATAATTCAGTAAACTCCATGTGTCCTATAATATTACTGTTTTTTTGTTTCAATAACCGTTAGCTTTTCCAGCATTGAGGATCAAACGGCGGTCCTCTTCACTCTACCCACGATGGCGACGGAATTTACATACGAATGCTAAAGACAAAAAAAAAAAAGCAATGCCACCGTGGACAAAAAGACAAAAAAAAGACAAAACAAAACGACCCAAAGAGAACAAGAAAATGAGACAAATAAAAACAAAATACAACAAAGCAATAACAACGGCACCATACATTTAAAGAGACCAAGAGAGAGAAGAATTGGAAACAAAAAAACAACAAAATACTGAGCAACGCCATTACAAGAACAAGAAAAAAATGTCAAGACAAACAGAAATGGAGCAGATACCGCAGATTAAAAAAGAAGAAAAAAAAAGTTCACTGGAACACCACCACCACAAAGAAAAAAAAAACATATGGAAAATGGAACAGCGTCACCACAAGTCCCAAAAACTGTGCTGGATGTGAAACTCTTGCAAACAAATCGACTTCCTGAGCCTTTCCCCCTG